GGGTTTTTTGTTTTTTTTGTTTTTTTTTTTTTTCTGGTGAAACAGTGCCTAAGGCATTTGACTGCTAACTAGAAGGTTGGTGGTTCACACCCACCAGCCACTCCATGGAAGGAAGAGTGGGCAATCTATTTCCATAAGTATTTACCACTTCAAAAACCCAATGGGGGTCGCTATGAGTCAGAATCAACTCAATGGCAGTAGGTTTGGGTTTTATATACATATATATATATATATATTTTAAGAAACCTGAAGGTAAGACATATAAAGGAACACTGATGTGCTACCTTTCATAACATTAGGCTAGCAGAGGGGTCCCAGCATTCCAAGAGTGACCTACTACTATAAAGTGCAATTCCAGGCTACATCACAGTGACAACATCTCATTATATTTTTCTCTGTACCCCAAACCACCACATTGAAAGGATCAGGAATCAAAATATCATTTGGGTCCATAACAACAACAGAAGCTAGAAAACAATGAACATAATTTCTATGTTTTGATGAATTCCAGCCTAAAATCCTATCGCTACCTAAACTAACAATGAAGTGGGTGCTTAGAATAAAGACATTTTCAGACATGCAAGTTCTCAAAGAATCTATCTCTCATGTACCCTTTCTCAAAAACCTACTGCAGAACATGTCCACCAAAACCAGGAGGAAAACAAAGGAAGAAGAAGACATGGGGTCCAGTACAATAGAAAGAGAAAATTCTTGCAATGATAGTGAAGGGAAGATCCCAGAATAATGGCTGTGAAGCTGGAGCAGAAAGCTGTCAGTTCAGATTGGAACTGTTACTGCCAAGGGCATCGAGAAAGGCTAAGAGAAAAAGAGAGATAGACAGATTGACTGATAGATGACCTGATCATATAGTTCATTTATCAAAAATGAATTTTATGGCTCTGTTGAGGCTGAATGGGTAAACTGATTATAAACTAAATAAACCACCAAAAAACTGCAATTATTACCCTAGAAAGAACAAAAGAAGTGTACAAGAGAGGAAATTTAACCATAATATACTAAAATAGGTCAACTGCGAACACTTAGTCAAAATAACATAAATAATGAAGATTAACAAATTATCAAGAGATACCGGAAAAATGGGGAAATTTCTGTGAGGATTACAGTGTTAGAGATTAGGGGGAGGAGGGTTAAACTCTCATCCTCTTTAGTAAAAAGTAAATAGATAAAGTCTAAAATTGGAATATTATATTAAATGATATGAGCATATAATCAACTAGAAGAGTTGCATAGCTGGAGTAGTTGATAATGGTTGCTTCTGGTAAGCAGAAGCCATGGACAGGGGAACAGGCTAGAGAACTAATTTTTCATTTAAGTCCTATAGCCCCAGTTTACTTTTTAAATTATGACAGTTATTCCTTTCATAATTTACTTCCGATAAGAAAAGAGAAAGGTCAAGGGATGAGGCTCCCAATGAGAGGAGATATTCGTCTTCAAGACTGTGGAGGAACATGCCATAATATGGCCATAAGAGTGTGTGGGTGATGTAAAGTACACCTAATAGTTATTCTCACTGATCTCTACACTGCCTCTCCCCCTAAAATCACTCTTTCATGCTATAACTTCAGGACAAAGCTTTGTTTTGTTTTTCCTCTTTTAATATTACTCTTAAGGAAGACACTATTATTTTCTTGTTGTTTCCACTCTTGAAGATATAAAGATGCATAAGACAAGGTCTCTATCTTTGAAGAGATGCATGGTAGGAGGGAAAAAGATGACACAGAAGATGCTTCTAAGCCAAAATGATTTATAAGCATTCACTAATATGAGCACATTCAATAATGGCAATGGATTTAGAATAGGTTTCTGGCTGTTGCCAAAATACACAAATGATACCAATAAGCCATCAGAATAAATTTCCATGACAACAGAAATAATGATTCCAGCTCATCTTTCCAGAGAGGGAGCCAAGCCCATTCCCCACAGAGATGACATATGCTAAGGCTGGAATCCCTTTCAAGCTTTGAAAACTAACCTTGGCTGTCCTGGGTATCATTATTCACTCTCCCATTCGGCATAACTGTGCCTTCATAATTGCCAAGCATGCCCATCACCCCCTCCTGTGCCAAGTTTAGATACAGAGCTGGTGGTGCTGCTTCCCTGTAGGAAACTAAAGATGCATCCAATGGAAAAAATGTGCCCACATAAGAATATGGAATGTGCCAGTTGTCATACTCTAGAACAGAGCCATCAAGTTTAGAAGTGCACCGTCCTAAACTTCAATGAAAGAAAAATAAGAAACTGAAATCTAGCAAGTTGAGGTTTTCCTGACTGTTTTCCAATTCTTCATGTAAGGAAAAAAAAAAAAAAAAACTCCATCTGTCAAGAAAAAAATTTCCTATACACCCTGTTTTGTAACTAGAATAATCCAAAGAATTCTTTCAAAGGTCAATTTTGTGAGCTCAGTCACAAGAAGACTAGAGGATCCCAGTTGGCCAAGGTTAAAAAAAAATTCCCAGGAAATTTTTTTGTTTTAATTACATACTAGCTAATAAAATAATATGGCTGCTACTTACAGAGTCCTTACTGCCCATTTGTTCTTCAGAAACTTAATGTGTGCTATTCCTTTCTGTGGAAGAAAGTTCTAATTTCAGTTCCATTCATCACCGGACTAGTTACATCACACTATTTAATCACTTTAAACTGTTGAGGTTTTCCAGATAAGGCTTTTACCATTAGTATTAGTATTAATAAGCCATTACTAATTATTACCTTGGAGCCCTGGTGAGACAATGGTTAATTGGTTTGGCTGCTAACTGGAAGGCTGGCAGTTCAAACCCACCCAGAAGGACAGAGACTATATGATCTGTTCCCATAAAGATGACAGCCAAGAAAACCCTATGGAGCAGTTCTACATTGCACATGGGGTCACCATAAGTCAGAATCAACTCAATGGAAACCAACAACCACCACCTTGGCTATGCCATCATTCTGTCACTGAAAACAACATTCAAAAGGCAGGAAAAGAGAATGACTTCCCAAGATACAATCTAAAAACAATACAAAATGATACACATTTTACTCAAAGAAACTAGATCACAGTGTTGCATTCATACTGCTAATTTACTACTCTTGGGAACTATGAAAATATCCTTCTATGTTCTTTTTTCAGCATGTTGTTGTTGTTATGTGCCATGGAGTCGGGCCCGACTCATAACAACCCCTCCTTGGGTTTCCTAGGCAGTATCACTACGGAAGTAGCTTGTCCCATCTTCCTTCCGAGGAGTGGCTGGTGGGTTTGAACCACCAGCCTTCTGATTAGCAGTCAAATGCCTTAGCCATTATGCCAGCAGAGCTCCCTTTTTCAGTATATCAAATAAAAAAAAGGGCTCACTGACTGCCTAGTGTGGATTCGGCATTATGTCAAATAACGTAGAAAATATTTTTAAAAAACTCTGATCTCACAGTCTCACTGATGAGGCCATTCACTGGATCATTCAACAAACATTCGTCTCAGTATGTGCTGAGCACAGTGGTAGTTATTAAAAAGACAAATACGAAGATACTTATTGGGAAGACATAATCTAGTGACAGGCCCAGAAACACACGGTTAGTAAGAGAAGGCAGTAATGATCGTACAGAGACATGGACAAAGCCCTGTGGGAGCACCAGGACCAGCATGCAGGTGACAACAGGTTTAAATGTGGTGGGACACATAACAAGTCCTTGAAGAGTTCACACCCTCACAAGCATAACTGATTCCCACAGAGAGAAGCACATTTTCCTCCCCAGCAGGGACTTAGGCCATGGGTAAATGCCCATCTGTCAGAGATACTATAGATGGGGATCCCCACACCCCCCACAAGAAAGGCTGGATTAAATCTCCTTTAAAGTCCCCTCCAATGCTAAAATTGCATAATTCCATGAGATCAACAGAGGCTAAAACAGTAATAGGAAGCTTCAGAGAAGAGGGGAAACTTGAACTAGGCTCAAAAATGTTGGCAAGGATCAAAATAAACAGAAGGGAGAGTCTAAGATACTTCATTTTGTTCCTTGTCATTATATGTATGCCAGATCAGTCTGCAAAACAGCTTTATAGGGTGAATAATTCATGCAAAGTGCAAGAATTCTAAATCTACTAGAATACCTGAAGCTATACTAAGAATTCTAACTTTTACTACAAAATAGGTAAAAGGCTTTCCTAAGTCACAAATTAAGAAAATCATTTTCATGCCCTATACTCTGACAGCACTACTACACTGTACTCCCGATAATCACATAATTACACTTCACAAAATAAAGAGCATGCCAGAAGAAACATCTGGTATAAGTTTACATTGTTATTTGATAAGGAACTTAAATAGGCCCTGAAAATCAAGTAATCTGGATACATTTCCCATCAGCTTTAAATAAACTTCACACTGTGATTTTCCACTTAAAGTAATTCTCTTCCTTTTCTCTCTTGCTACCCCGACTATCCCAATACCTGTGCTTACACTTCTTATTCAAGGTATCTTCACAATACCACAACATAAACAGTAGCCTCAAACAGGTAAGTTGGGAGCTCTTGAAAAGTTAAGAACTGAGAAATCTTTTAAAGGTTCCCTGATATTCACAGGTACATATACTTTCCTGACAGGCTGTATCCAGTGAGTCATTAAACTCAACCAAAAGTTAACTCTGTATTGATATTCCAGCACCCTCGATATATTTAATAAAAGGCTAGGATTCTCACTGAGTGTTCTCAGAACATCAAAATGGTGTGATTTTAGCTGGTAAAAAAATGCTGATTACTGTTGGTCATATACAGGTGATAGAAATTTAGCTAAACATTCACAAGTGCGTGTGCTGGGGAAGAACTAGAGGAATGTGCTAGCAAGTCCACAGCAGTAGAGCCAAGACGGCAACAGAGGACCACACCAACTTCCATAAATCTGAATAAGAGGCAACTCAATGATTTTGTGTTAAATAGAAATGCTACTGTTTTAGTTCCTTTGTCAGAATCAGTTATTCACAAAATATTGGTTTAATTCCTCACTTACCCCTTTTTCTGAGAGGTTCAGAGTAAGTAAGTGCAAAGTCCTGGTATGGGATGATTTCCAGTCCACAGGCATTACATTTCCATAATTATCTGTCAGGGCATTCCAAATCCTTAAAAAGTAGAAAACCACAATTAATGATAGTTAATATGCCCTTTATTTTAAAAAATATCTTTTATAGTAGAAGAGGAGTCTCTGGGTGGTACAAACTGTTAACACACTTGGCAGCTAACCAAAGGGCTGGAGATGTTAATCCATCCAGAGCCTCCTCAGAAGAGTGGAGATCCTTCTGAAAACTCAGCCACTGAAAGCCCTATGGAACACAGTTCTACTCTGACACACATGAAGTCATAGAGTCAGAAGTGACATGACAGCAAATGGTTTTATAGTAGAAGAAAAAAGACCAGCAAATATCAAAGAAGAAAAGCAGAAGGCATATGGTTTCTCAGAAACACATCAACAAAAGCAGAGCACACTAAACAAGACTAAATGAAAATCATGTAACTGGGCTGACAAGAAGTCCTGAGAGAAGGTAAAGTAGTACAGAAAACGCCCAAAGTCAATATGCTCCCAACTCCTTGATGTTTACAAACTATTACTATGGATAATAAGAGCCAACACTTTAATAGTACTGTGCCAGGCACTGTTCTAAGCAATTTACATATATTAACATATTTCATCTTCAAAACAACATTATGAATTAGGATCTGTTATTACCCGTTTTACAAATGACAGGACACTGAGGCACAGGGAGGTTAAGTATGGTTTGCAGGGCCACATAGGACATAACCACACTGTGCTTTAAACTTATTTTTCTTCTGTAACTTCCAAACACATTAAAAAAAAAAAAAAAAATTGCCATTAAACAGATTCTAATTCACAGCAACCCTGTAAGACAGACTAGAACTGTCCCATTGGGTTTCCAAGGCCATAATCTTTATGGAAGCAGATTGCCTCATCTTTCTCCCAGGGAGCAGCCGGTGGATTCAAACCACTGATCTTTCTGTTAACCACTGAGCAGTTCAACACTGGGAAACCAGGACTCCTTCCAAACAGTTTCATAAAAGTCAATAAGCTCTCTCTAACCAAAGATCTCTGCACATTAAAATACTTTGTCTTCTCAAGACACCCTTTGAAATCTTCTGTTCACATTTTTTATTTCTTCCATTCACTTTAGCTATTCTCCACTCAAAAGCAAGTTTCAGAGTCTCTTCTGACATCCATTTTGGTCTATCTTCCTTTCTTGTTTTTTTAATGACCTTTTGCTTTCTTCATGTATGATGTTCTTGATGTCATCCCACAACTCATCTGGTCTTCAGTCACTGGTGTTCAATGAGTCAAATCTATTCTTCAGATGGTCTCTAAGTTCAGGTGGGATACAATCAAGGTTGTATTTTGGCTCTTGTAGACTTGTTCTGTCTTCAGCTTCAACTTGAACTTGCATATGAGCAACTGATGGTCTGATCCATAATCAGCTCTTAGCCTTGTTTTGACTGATAATTGAGCTTCTCCATCATCTCTTCCCACAGATACAGTCAACTGGATTCCTGTGTATTCTATCTGGCAAGGTCCAAATGTATAGTCATCATTTATGTTGTGGGGAAACTAAAAAGGTATTTGCAATGAATATGTGATTAGCCTTGCAAATTCTATCACACTATCTCTGGCATCACTTCTGTCACCAAGGCTGTATTTTCCAAATACCAATGATTCTTCTTTGTCTCCAACTGCTGCATTCCAGTCACCAATAATTATCAATGCATTGTGATTGCACGTTTGGTCAATTTCAGACTGCAGAAGTTAGTAAATACCTTCAGTATCTTCAACTTTGGCTTTAGTAGTTGGTGTGTAAATCTGAGTACTTATCTTATTAACCGGTCTTCCTTGTATGCATATGGATATATCCTAACACTAACAGCACTGTACTTTAAGATAGATCACGAAACATTCTTTTTAATGATAAACATGATGGCATTCCTCTTTAATTTGTCATTCCTGGTGTAGCAGACCATAAGATTGCCTGATTCCAAACGACCAATACCAATCCATTTCACTAATGTCTAGGACATCACTCTTTATCCATTCTATGTCATTTTTGACAAATTCCAACTTTCCTAGATTCATTTTATTGTTGGTAGGTGCTGTCAAGTCATCTCCAACTCATAGCAACCTTGTGTACAGAACGAAACACTGCCTGGCTCTGTGCCAGCCCCACAAAATTTGCTATACCTAAGCCCATCGTTGCAGTCACTGTGTCAATCCACCTTGTTGAGGGCCTTCCCCTTTTTCGTTGTCCCTCCACTTTGCCAAGCATGATATCTTTCTTCAGGGAATGGTCCCTTCTTACAACATGACCAAAGAAGGTGAGACGAAGTCTGGCCATTCTCGCTTCCAAGGAGCATTCCAGCTGCACTTCTTTCAGGACAGATTTGTTAGTTCTCTTAGCAGTCCATGGTACTTTCAGTATTCTTCACCAACACCATAACTCAAAAGTATCAACTCTTCTTTGGTCTTCCTTTTTCATTGTCCAGCTCTCACATGCATAAGATGCAACTGAAAATACCATGAGTGTGTCAAGTGCACCTTAGTCTTCAAGGAAACATCTTGCTCTTCAGCACTTGAAAGACGTCTTTTGCAGCAGATGTGTCCAATGCTAAACGACATATGATATCTTGACCACTGCTTCCACTGGTGTTGATTGTAGAACCAAGTAATATGAAGTCTTTGATAACTTCAAACTTTTCTCCATTTACCATGATGCTGCTTATTGGTCCCATTGTGAGGATTTTTGTTTTCTTTTATTGAGGTGTAATCCACACTACAGACTGTAGTCTTCAATCTTCATCAGTAAGTGTTTCAAGTCATCCTCACTTTCAGCAAGCAAAGTTGTGTCATCTGCAGAACACAGGTTGTTAATGAGTCTTCCTCCAATCCTCATGTCACATTATTCTTCATATAGTCCAGTTTCTCAGATTATTTGTTCAGCACACAGACTGAATATGTATGGCGAAAGGATACAACCCAGATGCACTTCCTTCTTGATTTTAAACCATGCAGTGTCCCCTTATTCTGTTCGAATGACAGCCTCCTGGGCTATGTACAAGTTCCTCATGAGCACAATTAAGTGTTCTGGAATTTCCATTCTTCTCAATGTTACCCATAATTTGTTATGATCCACACAATCAAATGCCTTTGCATAGTCAATACAACACAAGTACTCATCTTTCTGGTATTCTTTGCTTTCAGCCAAGATCCATCTGACATTAGCAATGATATCCCTCATTGCACATCCTCTTCTGAATCCAGCTTGCATTACTGGAAGTTCTCTGTCAATATACTGCTATAACCGTTTTTGAGCTATCTTCAGTAAGATTTTACTTGTGTGTGGTATCAACAATATTGTTTGATAATTTCCACATTCTGTGGGATCACCTTTCTTTGGAATGGGTACAAATATGGATTTTTTCCAGTCAGTCGGCTAGGTAGTTGTCTTCCAAATCTCTTGGTATAGCCAAGTGAGTGCCTCCAGTGCAGCATCTGTTTGTTGAAACATCTCAATGGGTATCCTGTCAAATCTTGGAGCCTTGTTTTTCACCACTTTCTCAGTGCAGCTTCGATTTCTTCCTTCAGTACCATTGGTTCTTGATAATATGCCACCTCCTGCAATGAATGAACATAAACCAATTCTTTTTGGTACAGTGACTCTGGGTATGCCTTCCATCTTCTTTTGATGTTTCCTGCATTATTCAATATGTTGCCCATAAACCAAACCAAACCAACTCAATGCCATCAAGTCGGATCTGACTCCTTGGGTTTCTGAGGCAGTATCACTACAGAAGTAGATTGCCCAACCTTCCTTCTGAGGAGTGGCTGGTTTGAACCGCCACCTTCTGGTTAGCAGTCAAATGCCTTAGACACTATGCCATCAAAGCTCCCATATTGCCCATAGAATCTTTCAATATTGTAACTTGAGGCTTAAATTTCCTCTCCAATTCTTTCAGCTTGAGAAATGCTGAGCATATTCTTCACTTTTTGCTTTCCAACTCCATATCTTTGCAAATTTCATAATAAACTGACTTTGTCTTCTTGAGTTGCTCTTTGAAATTTGTTTAGCTCTTTTATCTTGTCTTTTCTTCCATTTGCTTTAGCTACTCTCCATTCAAGGACACGTTTCAGACTCTCTTCTGACACCCATTTTGATCTTTTCTTCCTTTCTTGTCTTTTTAACGACCTCTTGCTTTCTTCATAGATGATGTTCTTGATGTCACCCCATAATCCCTCTGGTTTTTGGTCACTGGTGTTCAATGCATCTTCTTTAAATGGACTCTAAATTCAGGAGGGATATTATCAAGGTCATATCTTGTCTCTTCAACTTCAACTTGAACTTGCTTATGAGTAGTTGATGGTTGGTCCCACAATCAAATGCCTTTGCATAGTCAATACAACACAAGTACTCATCTTTCCAGTTAGTAATTCTGGCCCTGTTTTGGCTGATGATATTGAGCTTCTCCATTGCCTCTTGCCACAAATGTAGTCAATCTGATTCCTGTGTACTCCATCTGGTAAAGTCCACATGCATAGCTGCCATTGGTGTTGTTGAAAAAAGGTATTTGTAATGAATAAGTCACTGATCTTGCAAAATTCTATCATGTGATCTCCAGCATTATTTCTATCTCCAAGGTCAAATTTTCCAACTACTGGTGATTCTTCTTTGTTTCCAACTTTTGCATTCTAGTCACCAGTGATAATCAGCACATCTTGACTGCATATTTGGTCAATTTCAGACTGCAAAATTTGGTAAAAATCTTCAATTTCCTCATCTTTGGCTTTGGTGGTTGGTGCATAAATTTGAATAGTAGTATTAACTGGCTTTCCTTGTAGGCATATGGATATTATCCTATCACTGACAGCATTGTACTTCAGGATAGATCTTGAAAAACATTCTTTGTGACGATGAATGCTATACCATTCCTCTTCATTTGTCATTTCTGGCATAGTAGATCATATGGTTATCTGATGTTAAAATGGCCCAAACCAGTCTATTTCAGCTCACTAACACCTAGGATATCAATCTTTAGGCATTCCACTTCATTTTTGACAATTTCTAATTTT